CTTTCGTGAAGGATTACATTTTCTTATCAAAATTTTGTATTGATTAAGCACATTGATTTTGAAGCAATATATTATATTAGGTTGTTCATAACGCAAATATTCTGTCCTTTTTGGTATACGGCTATAAATACTAGTAAACAAACTGTAATATTATATAGTATTTAGCTTCATATCATGTCGTCTTTTGTGATTTAATTGAAAAAGAAATTTTTTTTTTTTATTGTTCTGTATTTAAGCTTGAAAAATTAAACCCATGTTTTGTTTGAAAAATCTATGTTGGGTTATTAATTTTAGCGTTTAAAAACAAAACTGAATATGATATTGTAACTTAACCTTTTGCGTTATTTGGATGAATTATTTCAGTGTAAAATATTTTTATTTCAAGTTTGATGAAATATGAAGATTAAGGATTAATCTAAATTCAGTGGATTACATATTTTATTCTTTAAAATTTCCGTTAAAATGCAATCTGCAATTTCATCAAGGTCTGATACTGGACAACAAAGAACAGATCAGAACAGATCACGACTTAATTTTCAGAAGACTGATCCTGGAGAACAAAACAAAGATCAGTACAAACCACGACTCAACATTCAGAAGTATGTCGAAGAAGCATTTAAAGAGTTACAGGAACTAAAGTACAGACGAGATGATATAAACAAGGAAATATATGAATTAAACGAGGAAAAGAAAAATTTGCACGTGGATTTAGCTGGAGTTACGTCTAAACTATCAAAGTTGAATGAAAGCTTGTTTTCAAAATCTGTTCACATAGGCGAATTAAACCAACTGGAGACTGACTACAATAGAACATTGGGTAAATTAATTGAAGGTTCAGAACTGTTGCTAAGGAGTATGTCTCGTGCAACTGTTGAAATAGAAAGACAACATACTGCAAAAACATCAAAAACCTTTTGAGAATTACACACCATATGCATGCTATTCAGAAATAAACTGTTTCGCTGAGCGCAGCTAGATACGCCCGCAGAGGTCCAACCCTGAACAGTTTGGGCAAAAATGGACACAATATTCAAGCTTGATTCAGGTCTGAATTTGGATTGTAATTAAATATTTGACATATTATAGGTTTCTGAATAAATGTATTCAAAGAACTTGAAATTGGTTATATGAATTGAATTTATATTCAATTAAAGATTTCTTGCTGTTGTGCAATACTTAGTAAATCTGTTGTCAGACTACAAACAAATAAAATTCAATTAATTCTCAATGTCATATTAGAAATTTATGAAAATAAAAAGGGAGCTTACATCAATAGATATAAACAATTCACCAAAGTTTCATGAGAATTGGTGTCAGCATTTTTGAGTTATTGTCCAAAAACTGGAAAATCACCCCTTTTTTAATGAATAAAACCACATAACTCAGAAATGTAAAATCTAAAATTTATAAAATTCTAAAGGGAGCTTACATCAATACATACAAACAATTCACCAAAGTTTCATAAGAATTGCTGAAAGCATTTTTGAGTTTTTGTCCGAAAACTGGAAAATCCCCCCTTTTTTTATGGATAAAACCCTGTAACTTAGAAACGTAAAATCTAAAATTTATATAAAACGAAAGGGAGCTCACGTCAAAAGATAGAAACAATTCACAAAAGTTTTATGCAATTTGGTTAAAGAATTTTTGAGTTAATGTAAACGGGCGCATAAAAATGGTATTCAAAGAACTAGATTTTGTCGATGTAGTTTGCTCAAAGATAAATATGCCATTCAGTCTTGGAAGATAAAATACATATCAGATCGAACTCTAGTAGTGTCAGATTCTTTCCTGTTAAAAATGGTTCGTTTATGTTTTCAAGATAGTACATGTATATGTATTCTACTGTCAATACCTTTACCATATAGTACCATAGATCTTTCTCGTGATATTATAGCTCAAACCCCGGAAATAAAAAAGGAAAACAACAAAAACACCGAACTCCAAGGAAAATTCAAAACGGAAAGTCCCTTATCAAATGGGAAAATCAAAAGCTCAAACACATCAAACGAATGGAAAACAACTGTCATATTCCTGACTTGGAACAGGCATTTCCTTATGTAGAAAATGGTGGATTGAACTTGGTTTTATAGCTAGCTAAACCTCTTACTTGTATGACAGTCGCATAAAATTCCATTATATTTACAACAATATGTGAACAAAACAAACAGACATAAAATAGGCAAAATGCCAAAAATAGGGGTACAGCAGTCAACATTGTGTTATAATCTTAATCACTATAAAAGCAAACAAATATGTCAACAAAGAAAAACAAACTGGCATATAGAAAAAGCACATAAACAAAAATGAAAGACGGGAATACAAAAACTGACCATAGCACAATAACACAATGGCGGGATGTAAAGGTACCGAGCCACGCCAAAAGGATATTACCAAAAATGGACTAAACAGTAAAGGTTAATAATTTACAAAGACAAATATAAGAAAACTATAACACGTAATTAAGATGATAAAAAACGTCAGTACCTAGAATCTATACTTCAAAACCATCATGTATTATTTGTGAAGTTGATGCGGAATATTTATCAACAATGCCTTGGTATCTTCCGATGACCTTTTTTAAAAAAAGGACGAGACGTTCTTTGACATAACCCTGGTTCATCAACTTTCTGCTCAGACACTGGTGACGTTTTATAAAGTCGGAGTAGCAGCTGCAAGCTCTTGAATATCGAAAGAGTTGGGAAATGTATATCCCATATGCAGGTGAAGTTGGTATATTGCTACTAAGGTGATGGAAATTGATAACTTCAAAATTGAAATCATCTCGTTTGTCATAGATTATGGTACTGCGATGACCACTTATATCAAATTCGAGGTACAAGTCTAAAAGTGAGGCGGAGGAAGTCGTCTCTGTTGTTTCTTAAATTTCTAGTTCTGGAGGATATATAATTAGCCTGGGATCCTGGTCAACTGCTTGACAGTAGCCTATCGACGAAGTATTAGATTGGGTCAGGATGCCAGGCTAGATATATTAATGGAACCCAATCAGAAAAAGTTGGATTGTTAACGGAAAGAACATGATCAATATATCTGAATGTGAAATTAAATGATCTGGCTTCTTTGATCTTCTTGTTTTTGACAAGTGTCTGAAGGAAATCAGACTCATATGAAAATAAGAAGAGGTCGTGAAGAACGGGTGCAGTTCCTTCCCATAGGAATGCCGACAATTTGTTGAAAAGTCTACCTCCAAATTCAACAAATATGTTGTCAATTAAAAACTCCAGCATACTGATCACTTGTTCCTCTGTGTAGCATTTTTTACCTTTTTGTTCACTATTAACAAAATATGCCGTATGGTATCCCAAAGTAATAAATGTATAGCGTATGCTACCGTTTTCATATTGAAAAGCATTGTGGATTATTTCTTTAAGACGATTTTTCAATTTCACATGGGGAATGGTGGTATACAGGGTTGAAAAATCAAAAGTTTTGATAGAATTAATTTCAGAAAAAGATCGAGATTTAAAATTATCCAGTCGTTCTTTAGAGTTTTTTTAGAATCCACATTATTATGGTTAATACCAAAAACGCGAGTAAACAGTTTCACAGTATTTCTAAAAACCCTCTTTCACTGCGGACAGATTTTTTGTCAATCTAATGATGTACCACAGAAGAATCTTAGGGGATGATGTGATGTTGCATTTAAATTTCGGGTGTGAAAAAGTATATTTAGAAAGAACTTTATCATAGGCAGGACAACTTGAACTAAATATAGTCAAGATTGACCTCACCTTAAGAGTTATAAAAACCAACCGACATGAAACTGGGATCCCGTTCTTCTTTACATATATTATTATATAAATTGTATTGTTACCTTTTCCCTCACCCATGGTCCTCAGACGAATAATTATTCAATATATCCACAAGTTTTTAAGAAGGCCAATTTGGTCAGCTCATATCTTTTCAACAAATTTTCAATACACTGTATTCTCAAGATACTTGTATTACTATGATCATCTTGTATGATCAGCGGGCATCAAAAATTTTGAAATATTGTCATGACAGGGTTTTTTCTATCCAACATCTATCTGTTGAATAGTTGTCTCGTTGGCAATCATACCACATCTCCTTATTTCATATGTATTCATTTTACACAAATAAGCTATGAAAGCTTAAATAATGCATTTATCTCTTTTATGTTCTAAAATATAATTGAATGAATTCTTTTAAAATAGTTGTACATGCATATAGAATGCACATACAATCGGTTAAAACAATTCTTGAAAATGTCTTAAAGTCATCAAAACTATGATTATTCTTATTATTTTTTATGTTGTTGCTACATAAATTATGTTTGATTGATATTTAATATTCATATGGTTATGACTTCGTTTTATCAATTAACTAACCTATTGCCTTGTTGGTAGTGTAAAACATAAGAAAAGCAAATTTGAATTGAAACAGAAATTTATCTTGCAACAACATATCAATTTTAAGAAAAATCTATGTACTGGATGATATTGAGTTTTTGAAGAAAACTTTTATGCGAATGTTTACCTTTTTTAAAGATTTCCTTCCAATAAAATTTCAGAGAGTATAACTGTTAAACGATTTTTGATTTTCAGTTAAGAGTCTCACATGTCCAAGATGTATGCAAAATCTTACAAAAATGTGTGACACAGTCCGTTCACTAGTACTGTTCCTCATATTTGCTGTACTGTTACTATTGACTCATCAATGAAGCCCTTACAGTGATTTGTATTAAGAACACATGTTATACAAGCTATAGGTCGCTTTCTTTTATACGGAGAATAAGTCTAACATAAATCCCACAAATACAGAAAATTTTATATTCATAGGTGAATCATCATAAATACTCTGATATGTTACAGTAAAGTAACAGTATCCTTAAATCAGAGTCGGAGCAAACGGACTAATATTCCATTAGACCTGCTATAAAGTTAAATCAGAAAATAACAATCAGAAGTGACATTCTTGTCTTTTATTTTTTTTCTCAAAATGAAAGAAGTAGAAACTTTGAATCATGTTAGTTTTTTTTTTATTTATATACATTTTGTTAACAAATTATATATCTAAAGTTTTAAACAGAATACAAATACAAAAACATCTATTTGTTTATTGTCAAATAATGATATTTGTAATAAATAAACAAAAACAAAAGATCTAAATTCTCTTTCAACTCTCTTGGTATATATGTGTTCTGTCAACAACAAAAAAGTGCAAGATTTATGAAACAACAAATACTTGTCAGCAAATTTGTCAAAATTCAAGATCAGACACTACATTTAGTGGCAATTTATTCATAAATCACATTATAATAGTGAGCAAAAATTTGAATCACCTAGCTACTAGCTTTCCTACCGTTTTAACCTGTTTTTCTGTGCAGTATTAACAAGAAAACCAAAAACTGTTCCTCCATCTAACCCATATAAATACAGATTTTACCCTAATAACTGTCACTCAGGGTCTGGATTATGGGGGGGGGTCCTTTATCTCTGTATTCTTTATTTTTTTCGGTCATTTTTCTTTATTCTTCATATTTTTTTCTCATTATTCTCTTATCTATATATTTCAGCATTTAATTTTTTTTTTATTATTTTCTTTTGCCTTATTTTCTCTATTCTTTATTTGTTTGGACCATTTTTCTGCAGTACGTATTGGCCCATTATCCTCTGTTCTTTAGACCCCATCCAGGTCCTCATGAAATACTATCAAAACTTGAAAACTTAGAAGAGAAAGATAGAATACTGACATGTTATTTTACATTGTCCTGTTTATAATGGTCTTAGCCAAATTCTTTTCACTTAATCTATAAATTGATGAAAATTTTAATAGTTTAACAGACTGTCAGAAAATGGTATTTTTATTCATGAATCAAGATATTATTAGATTATGTGCCAAAACCTGTAACTTTATTCTGAAAAGTTTTATATTGTAAATAATACCACAATTTTTACATTTTTATTATTCATGTTTAATTTTTAATGTATAAACATATTGTTTTCGCTGTTATAGTCTCTCATAAACTGTACAGAGTGGCTAATGTATAAACCAAAATGTATCTTTAATGACTATGCATATTTATTTGTATGCAACAGGTGAGATGTAAATAAATATTGAATTGAATTGTTTAATCATCCTTTAGTTTTTGCATTAATAAAAACATACATGGGTCATTTAAAGAAAAAATTGAATAAAAGTTACTAGTTTAAACCATCATCTTATAATCAAATCATAAACCAATACTCATTGAACAACATCAAACAATGCAGTCTTAATAATGTAATACAATAATACATTGAAACATTTTTTGATAGTTTATGCAAGATTTTGTCTATCCTGTTACCATTTCCAAAAGGAATTGTCAGTTATTTAGAATAGGTCTCAATAAAACTTAAAGCTTGTTTTACATGAACAATAAAGTGGTTTTCAAGAACAAATTTTCTATATATTCTGTTTCTTTGTATTGATAGATTGTTTGTCAATTATTCATTACAGATAGTTGTGGTATTAACATCAAACTAATAGATAATATCATAGTCTTGACTAGGTGTTTGGCATACAATATAACTGTTTATATCAAATGAGGATTATATATATATCTGTTGTATATGGAAAGTTTTAGATCACATAACATTTTTCATTGAATATATATCAGTGTACAATCCTACACCTCGAATTTCTAAGTTATCTTGAAATGGCATCATAAAAATTTCAATATTTTGGGACTTTATCAACATAAAGGAAATGAGCGTGTCATTGTCTGTAATGATAAAATACAGCAGAGCTTAGTAAGAAAATTTTTTTCTTAACAAAATAGGGGGGGACATACACTTTACAAGCCCTACCTCAATACATCACTGATGTGTAGGACATCTTGTTTATTTTAAAAAATTTTGTAAAGAATTGATTCTGACTTTTTTTTTTATAATAATGGCTGCATTTCCATTGGATTTCATTTCTTTCTTTATGCGGTATTCACCAAAAGGGAATGCATTGTGTGAGGTGCTATATTTGTAGCAATTGACTAGGAAAACACCACTTCTAAAAATAGAACAATATTTAGTATCCTGTGATTTATAAAACATCCAAAGTAGATGAACTTGCTTTGATTCAACCATTCCTTAAGTGATTGCTGAAATTTTCAATATCAGTTACTGTGGATTTCATTTTGGTGGATTGAGGAAAGCTCGTATTTTTGTGAAAATTTGATTTCGTGGTTTTGCCAAAGTTTGCATGCAAGCCTATAGAAAAAGTGCGCTTTGTTGAAGTATTTATAGTCGTATTTAACCTATACCCACAAAACCCATGAACAATGGTATCACACAAATAATAAATAATCCACAATGTGTCACTTATCATGTCCTTATTGTTTAGAAACGATTTAGCCAAATTGAGAAATTTTATGAGTTGCCAGGCAATCAATACGTAAGTGTTGAAATCTGGAAATCTATTTGGTATGAAGAGCATATAGAAAATAATTTTTATGTTTTTCATTGATATTTGCAAAAAAAACATAAGTTACACACACATTGCATATTAATAAAAAAAAAAAATTACATCATTAATACTGATAAAAAATTCATGTTTGGTAATTACAGATAATGATAAAGTTTTAATATAAATTCTCAAATTCAATAACAACAAAACAAACTAGCAGTGTAAATTGTACAGTGATTATGCAAGTAAAGTTTTCAAAATAACAAAGTATAAAAAATTCAAAATAGAATCCATATAACATTAAGTGGCAGCTCAATATTCTGTGGAAATAGTGCACAATAAGACATGTGACCAGAGATGCTATCAGTATAGCTATCATCATGTTCTAAACTTGTACCCTTAATTTCAAACTTCTGGATCCTTCTATGTACAAACAAACACAACTTCTAGGGAACATACTAACACTAGTTTAATCTATGAAACAGTTAAATTGTTCATCCAATTGTATCCAGAAGAAGCTTTGTTCTATAATAATAGCAGTCTTGTACAAAAATTATATATATTTTATCATTTAGGCATAATACAATGGTTTCAAAGTGTTAATACATGATTTCCTTTTGGTCATATATATAATTAACTCCAATGTTTGCATCCAGTTTTTGAAGTCTGGTCTAATTCTAAATTGTCTTTTTCTAGTACCTATGGTAGTTCTATTTGGAAGTAGTTAGGATTGTCAACTATTATAATTAAAGTAAATAATCAGTGTATCATATTCCCTAAGTTAGAAGGCTAGTGCCAATGGTTGTTTTACAGGTTTCTTTAATTTTTTTGTATTTTTAAAGCAACAGGTATGGAGAAAAAAGAAAAACATTTTGAATCTAAGCATCCAACTAATTAATGGAATTCTGCTTTCAACTAGCACTATTGTTTCAGAGAAAATGCTTTAAAGATATTAAAAGAAAGGTTATGGATGCCAAGTGGTGACATAAATAGCTGATACTGAACAATTTAGTGAGCTAAATAGGGGATACAATACTGATGGCAATTTACAAATTAAAAATCTTCCCTACAAAAATATTCTTGAAAGACATAAATGGAAACAAATATCAATATTGCTCCAAGAGATCATAGACATTAACCACTAAATGGTCCTAAGTTATCACTGCCGTATACGAAGTATAAATCCAGCAATGGCCAGTAATCCACAACTCCATCCAAAAGTTACTAGATAACCTCTCCATACTTCCATGAATGTTATATCCCAGCCTGTAATAACAAAGTATTAATGAAACAACATTTTTTTCCAGATTAAGAGCAAATTTTTTAACCCTTTATGCTTCTAGTTTGAAACATGAAAATTACCAAACAAGAAGAAAACTTCTATGTGTCCCACTTGGAAAGCAAATTAGTGGTAATCCTGTTGGTAACTGCTCTGCCATGGTTTGTTATTGCATGTGTCAGTTATACCCTTAATGGTTTAGATAAGTAAAGTGTTTGTGCAAAACTTGTTAAACCCCACATCATTTTATGCCTGTACCAAGTCAGGCTCTCTAGACCAAGCTGTATGTTTTTTTCCCCTGGAGGAGTTGTGCGTTGGTTATTGATGTGATCTGTACAAATCAGTATACTTTTAGTGACCCCTGCTATTCTTTATATCTATAACAGATTATATATGGTTCTGAAAATCAGAGTGTTTCTCAGATATTAACACATCTAGCGACCCCCCTTAAATGAGATACAGCTGAGCAAATTTTTCCAGTTCGAAAGAACATAGATATAATATTTTTACTGCTATTTTCCTAAGCAATGTCACTGGTGTTTGGCTTTTGATATCATCACCTTCTCACTCTACACACAATACAATTTCCCTGAAGCATAACCAGAAGCAAAAGTTTAACAAGTGATTGATAAATTCAAAAGGGCAACAGTAATTTTCTTGAAACAGTATATGTTGAACATATGTTGGTCCCCTCTACTAGTCTATGCCTGAGATCCATAGGTCATGGGCAAACACATAGATATGTATCTCATCTATTCTGGTATAGCCTCTAATGGCAATATTATACCTACCTCTACTGAGAATAGACCCCATGCCTGAGATCCATAGGTCATAGGCAAACACATAGATATGTATCTCATCCATTCTAGTATACTGTGGATTCATTAATATTCGTTGGATACCAATTTTCGTTGATTTTATTGGGTACAAGGAAACAACGAATTTAAATGTTCAACGAAATGCAAATTGTTTAAAGGAATGCATGTGAACTTTGTCAAAACCACAAATTTAAATATCCACGAATATGCAAGTTTTCCTCTATCCACGAAAATTGGTACCCACGAAAATAAATGAATCCACAGTAGCTTCTAATGGCCATATTATACCTACCTCTACTGAGAATAGACCTCATTGTCTGTGATCCATAGGTCATAGGTAAACACATAGATATGTATCTCATCCATTCCGGTATAGCCTCTAATGGCCATATTATACCTACCTCTACTGAGAATAGACCTCATTGTCTGTGATCCATAGGTCATAGGTAAACACATAGATATGTATCTCATCCATTCTGGTATAGCCTCTAATGGCCATATTATACCTACCTCTACTGAGAATAGACCTCATTGCCTGTGATCCATAGGTCATAGGTAAACACATAGATATGTATCTCATCCATTCTGGTATAGCCTCTAATGGCCATATTATACCTACCTCTACTGAGAATAGACCTCATTGTCTGTGATCCATAGGTCATAGATAAACACATTGATATGTATCTCATCCATTCTGGTATAGCCTCTAATGGCCATATTATACGTACCTCTACTGAGAATAGACCTCATTGCCTGTGAGCCATAGGTCATAGGTAAACACATAGATATGTATCTCATCCATTCTGGTATAGCTTCTAATGGCCATATTATACCTACAAATAGCAATATGTTACAATATAATTTTTTTTTAAGAATACTAACTAGAATTTAATGTGTAGATTGATGTTAAAAGTTCAGTGCCAAATATTACATGTTTTTTCAGGATGAAAACTTTTAAATGTGATGTGAATATGCTTTGTACAAGACCCACTTGCAAGGACAAAATTTTAACATGGTAGGAAGACAGTTTAATCTTCTCAAACACATTATTGTTGATATTTGAGCTGACCAGTCTCAATAATTGTTGTGTGCTTAGCAGAGAAGCAGCAAATAAAATTTTCAAATCTTTGGTTTGACCCCCCTTATATCAAATCTTCAAACTCCAACACTTGAGGTGAGCACCCTACACCAGACCACAGATGCTTTTTTTCCAAGAATGGGCTTTTATATATGCTTAACCGTTTCCTTGTAAGTAAATAACATATTTCTGATTGTTAGCCAGAATTTTAAACTATTCACTTTTAATTTCCAAAGAGATCCCATTACTTCTAGTGAAATATAATACAGTGTGAATTCTATTTTTTTTTCTATTCTAAATTACAATGCTTGTACAGCATTTAATAAAAGAACAGAGTTCCAATGTCCCCCACGTTGCACATATTTTATCTATCCAAGGGCAATAACAGAAAAAATTAAAATGCTTTGCCAAGCGCAGCCTGATATGACCGCAGAGGTCAAACCCTGAACAGTTGGGGCAAGTTTGGACACAATATTCAAGCTTTATACTGTCTGAATTTGGATTGTGATCAAATTTTTGACATAATATAGGTTTCTGACACAAAATAAATGTGGTCAAAAATCTTAAAAATTTGAAATGGGACATTTAATTTACCTAATATGGTCTGATATCCAGAATCAAACAACATGGTTAGATTCAGCATATATAAAAAACTCCAAAAATTGAATTTTAGTTGAAATCCAACAAAGTTTAATTTTGGACCCTTCAAATCTTAATATGGACTTATTTGAAAACAGGGCCCAAAATAAAAAATCTAAATGCACAATAAGATTCAGCATATCATAGAGCCGCAATAATTCAGTTTTTGATGAAATCAAACAAAGTTTAATTTTGGACCCTTTGGACCTCAATGTAGACCAATTTAAAAATGGGGCCCAATATCCAAAATAGTAATACAAGGTTAGAACCCCCAAAAATTAAAGACTTTAACTTAGTCCCATTGAAACTGGTTAAAAGAAATGTATTTCTTTTCATTTGAAGATTTCTTGCTATTGTGCAATACTGTGCTATTGCCCAATACTGTGCTGTTGCACAATACTCTGTTATATATAATAATTTACACACCCTGTTGATGACCCCCCCCCCCCCCCCCCCCCCCCAATTTTTTTAAAAATTTTGAAGATTATTTTCTTTTCAAGAAAATGTACAATTTCAGAGAGTTCCATAAACTTTAACACAAGTTATTGTCTGGAAGCTAGAAAAATGCTTGTTTTTAGCCCCTTTTTTGGCCCTAATTTCTAAACCTTTGGGCAAAAATTACCCCCAAACTCAATCCCAGCCTTCCCTTTGTGGTATGGAACCTTGTAGTACAATTTCAGAGAGATCCATACACTTAATCACTAGTTATAGTCTGGAAACTAGAAAAATGCTTGTCTTTGGCCCCTTTTTTGCCCCTAATTCCTGAATGTTTGGGGCAACTACCCCCAAACTCAATCCCAGCCTTCCCTTTGTGATATGGAACCTTGTGGTACAATTTCAGAGAGATATATACACTTACACACAAGTTATTGTCGAGAAACTACAAAAATGCTTGTTTTAGCCCCTAATTCCTAAATTGTTGGTACCATAACCCCCAAAATCAATTCCAACCTTCCTTTTGTGGTTTTGAACCTTCTGGTAAAATTTCATAGAGATCCATTCACTTAAACTTAAGTTGTCTGGAAACCAAATGTGTCTTCGGACGACGCCGGCGACATGATAGCAGTATACAAACGCAAATTTGTTTTGTTTTGTTTTGTTCTTTAAAACTGTTTACAAATATCTTAGAGAAATGGGGCTTGAGAGCAAATACAATGCAATTTCCAATACAAGTAATATTTTTCATGGGGCATAACTCGATGATATAAGTTTCATAAAAATCTGGCAAGAATTGTACACATGAGAGCGCTAACAAGGTAATTTTCCATATAATTAAGATTCCAAAGGGGCATAACTCTTTTAAAAATAATTATCGGCACTGATTTTCAAACTTGTCTGAGATATTGCAGATATCAACCTATAATATAAGTTTTATAAAAATCTGGCAAGAATTGTACACGTGAGAGCGCTTACAAGACCGGACAGACAGACGGACTGACGCCAAGTATTTCTGTGTCCCTCGTAACGCGATGCGTGGGGGACAATAATACTTTTCAATGGCGGAGTAATGAAAAAACTATAGTATGATTATATTGAATTGCTGATTACACACTAAAGGAAGATTTGCTAATGTGAAAATACATTTTTTAACTGCAAACAATCATATGTCTAAAATAAACAGATATTCTTCAAAATGAACTCACCACTCAGTAACAACATTGGATAAACAGAACCTAAAGCTAACTGTATGGCTGATGTTTCATTGTCACATACTGCTGAAAAAATGGCACCTGAAAAAATAAAACAATTATTAAGATATATCTGTGTAAAAAAGTATGTTTCATTTCAAGTAGAATTTATGGTTGCTAATTAGGTTTACTGGAGATCTAAAATAAGGAAATCTCTCCATAAAACCAGCCAATCATAACTTATCTCATGGGCCTAGAGTAAGTCCATGAAAATAACAGTTTATACATGTGTAAAAATGTTAGAGCTACCAAAAGGTTCTTTACAACAATCAAGTCAATATATATATGCCTGGCAATTCTTAAGCAGCTTTTGAAACAATAAACTAAATTATCTTTTTTATCATTGAAAATGGATTTGATTATAATTGCTTAAATCCATGTCATCTGAGCTCTGAAGGCTAGTGGTCTCATTGGCAATCACACCTCATCTTCTTATTTTGATATTTATTTAATGGAATTAAATGACATAACATATTTCAGTGTATACAATCAGATAAAACCATGGGGAAATTTTGCATTAGAACTTGAAACAACTTTTCTAGTTTTTCTGAGAGGATCTTTTTCTTTACAATTCTGAACTAAGTTCGTAAAAGATCATAGACAATAATTGCTCATTTTCATTTCAATTTATGTAAGTATACATTCACTTTTTTATTTTAACCAAAATCTCTCTGTGCAAATAAAAATCTGCCTTAACAAAAATAGACAAAACAAGGCTTGAATAAATGACATTTGCTACTTCGATAACATATAATTTAATAGTAAAAGCAAGGCCTAGTTGGTGCTGGATATAAAGTTAAGTGTGAGGGTATATTAAATGTCATTCAGTGAACTTGTGTCAGAGCAATGTCAAAAATAATCAGGGTGCCAGTCTTATACCAAGCATGGTTCTATTTTATATCACATTAACATGTTCTCTTGCTGAGAATGGTTTGAATACACCTATCTATCAATCATCTTAAAATATCTTAAAATTCAGGTTTCTAAAACTACTCTTCAAAAATGAAGTTGTGAGAAGTCATCAGGATATTTCAGTAGACAATGAACATAGAACTTTCCAAATTGTGTACACTTTAGGTTCTATCATGTTAGGCATAACATCTACTAACCTAATGTCATTCCACAAAACCCTGTACCTAACACAAGTAGTATCACCCATATTAATGGTCCTTCATAAGGAACCTGTAAATGAAATGTTCATTTTATCAATGTCCAATGAAATACTCATGTTTAACACTTGACATGTGTCTGAATTGGTTTCCTGCATACTCTTTTTCAAGCGGAATACACAATATTTGAAAATATTGCTAAGAGAGTAATCTCCCTTTAGCATTGAAACCACCACAAATGGCACATGTAGAGTTTATTTTTTTCAACATATCTGTTTTTGTCATGTGCACTTAGTTTTTTTACATAGCTCAGAACTAAATGGCTTTTAAAAAATTGTCAATAGTTATATATCAAAAACACCTAAATTATTCTGGCTTCATAGATGAAATATCTTTGAATTAAAACTTTCAACTGTTATCAATCTGGTAGCCCTGGCAATTAAAATAAAAAAATAAACCCTAAAATTCCCTTAACATTATCCATTAACCATAAAAAAAAACACAATTTCCTTCCAGGTGTAAGAACATTTTTTAACTATTCGGCTTAAAAATAAACCCTAGACTTGAAAAATAAAATGCTCCGCAGGGCGCAGCTTGATACGACCGCAGAGGTCGAACCCTGAACAGTTGGGGGAAGTATGGACACAACATTCAAGCTTGATACAGCTTTGCATTTGGATTATGATTAAATATTTGACACAGCATAGGTTTCTAACACAGAATGAATGTGGTCTAAGAACTTAAAAATTTTAAATTGGACATTCACCTATTATGGTCCAATATCCAAAATCTAAATACATGGTTAGATTCAGCATATCAAAGAACCCCAAGAATTCAATTTTTGATGAAATCAAACAAAGTTTAATTTTGGACCCTTTTGACCTCAATGTGGACAAAGTTGATAAAGGGGCCCAAAAATCAAAAATCTAAATACATGGTTAGATTCAGCATATCAAAGAACCCCATATATTCAATTTTTGTTGAAATCAAACAAAGTTTAATTTTGGACCCCGATTTGGACCAACTTGAAAACTGGGCCCATAATCAAAAATCTAAATACATGTTTAGATTCAGCATATCAAAGAACCCTAAGAATTCAATTTTTGTTAAAATCAAACTAAGTTTAATTTTGGACCCTTTGGACCTTAATGTAGACCAATTTGAAAACGTAACCAAAAGTTAAGAATCTAAATACACGGTTAGATTCGGCATATCAAAGAACCCCAATAATTCAATTTTTGATGAAATCAAACAAAGTTTAATTTTGGACCCTTTGGACCTCAATGTGGACCAATTAAAAACGGGGCCCAAAATCCAAAAACTAAATACACGGTTAGATTCAGCATATTAAAGAACCCCATGAAATCAAGAATAAAACCCCATTGAAATTGGTCAAGAAATAAGCAATTTATAGGAAGTATCTTCTTTTGCACAATCCTGTGCTATTAAATATTTCTTGCTATTGCGCAATACTGTACAATTGACAATTTCTTGCTATTGCGCAATATTGTGCTATTGGATATTTCTTGCTATTGCGCAATACTGTGCAACTGAAGATTTCTTGCTATTGCTCAATACTGTGCAATTGAAGATTTCTTGCTATTGTGCAATACTGTGCAATTGAAAATTTCTTGCTATTGCACAATACTTATTATATAATAATTTACACATCCTGTTTGGTGTGTATCTCCTACCATATCATTATTATTTGATTTTAAATATAAATCAGAAATAACCAACTTAAAATGGAAAATTTTAAAATAAACAAAAAAGGAAAAAAATAAAAAAAAGGAAAAAAAAATAAATCCCCCCCCCCAAATTTTTTGAACCCCCATTATGATTCATCACCCCCAAACTCAATCCCAGCCTTCCCTTTGTGGTATGGTACCTTGCAGTACAATTTCAGAGAGATCCATACACTTGAACACAAGTTATTGTCTGGAAACTAGAAAAATGTGTTTTTTGGCCCCTTTTTGGCCCCAAATTCCTAAACGTTTAGGGCAATTACCCCCAAACTCAAACCCAGCTTTCCCTTTGTGATATGGAACCTTGTAGTACAATTTCAGAAAGATCCATACACTTACACACAAGTTATTGTCATGAAACTAGAAAAATGCTTGTTTTTTGCCCCTTTTTTGGCCCCTAATTCCTAAAATTTTGAGGCAATTACCCCCAAATCAATCCCAGCATTCCTTTTGTGATATGGAACCTTGTGGTACAATGTCAGAGAGATCCATACACTAACACACAAGTTATGTCTGGAAGTTACAAAAATGCTTATTTTTGGCCCCTAATTCCTTTACTGTTGGTACCATAACCCAAAAAATCAATCCCAACCTTCCTTTTGTGGTATTGAACCTTGTGGTAAAATTTCATAAAGATCCATTCACTTAAACTAAAGTTAGAGTGCGAAAACCAATGTGTCTTCAGTCGACGCAGGACGACGACGACAACGACGGCGCCAACGTCATACCAATATACGACCACAAAAATTTGTTTGCGGTCGTATAAAAACCTCACAAAGTGGGAATTATTGTTTAAATATTAATTCAATTTCAAATTTGTTACAAACATTTACAAGAGCGTGCATTGTAAAATAAACTGCATCTATATCCTGTCTCATTCCACATTGAATATTGAAACAGTACATCCAAATTTTTACATCTATCTATCAGAGAAAACATATAAATTCTTGTATTATGGTTATGACAACCAAAATTTAATTTAATCGCTTTTTAAATCCTCTAGAAAATTATGAAACAAATAAAACTGTGGAGTGCAAGCACAGAAAAATATTCTCATTTCCCTTCAGAAAAAAATCAAAAACTAAAATAAGATCAGCTGACTGAACTATGACTTAGCTTATTTGTAAAAATATTGTCCTGAACATGCATGAAATATTTGTCACTGAACATAAAGCAACCAACAATCAATGATTGTATAATAAACTGAATTCATATATTTTAATTGCATATGTCATTACATGAAACAAGCTAGGTTAAAAGACATCAGTATACAACATATAGTCTATCTGAGTGGAAACAGAAAACTCAAGTTTTATTTTTTTACCTACCTTAAAAACTATAAGAGCAAATACCAGTAACAAACCAACTTGTACTACCATAACAATTAACTGTGTAAACACATGGGCTAACATAATCTCAAATGCTGATACACCTAAAAATCATAATAATTAACTGTGTAAGCATATGGGCTTACATAATCTCAAAAGCTGATATACCCGAAAATTAGTGTTGTTCCGATGATCAGAATAAGTTGGAAATCAGTTGGTTGGGCTTGGCGATGTCAATAATCAATTGGGATTTTGTTCTATCGATTGTCGTTATAGTTTCCGGACTTTTAGCATATCAACTTCCGGTCCGTTTCCGGTTTGCATTTTACATACGCATTCAAACAAACTGTAACGTAAAATATCAGTAGATGACAATAACAATGTCAAACATCCTATAATCTAAGACATAAGCAATTTCTTTTTTTATAAACGTGGTCAAAGCATTGACTTTACAGATTGATCATATGTTATTTAAAATAAATAACTTTTTATGAAATACTTTCTTCCAATTCTTGGTACTTGTTACTCGAGAACATACATCAAATCATCCTGATTTTTCAACAAAATGAATTTGTTGCTACATTAAATAAAATTGCCTTTTATTTAAGTTTCATCCATTTGTTGCATTAAAAACATCATATTTCTTTCCAAATTGCTTGATTTTGTAAATTTTCCCAGTTTGTCCGCTATTGAAATATATAGGAATTATGGATCGTAGACGGACCAACTATAAAAGAATTCTGCATTCTTACGATTATAAGTACAGACGCACGAACAACACAGCTTACCGAAGAATAATGATCACAAAAGTAAAAAATATGCATACCACACGAATTAAGACATTGGTTGGATCCCCTTAGTTAAATGTATTTATTTCAATGCAAATACATTGTTTTATTTATTGATTAATTTTAAATTGCTTAAAGTTAAAAACTTTGTATTACCAGTATATCTTTTTTTAATGAGAAGCATTCAAATTTTGATACAGCTATGTATTTAAAATTATAATGTGAGTGATACCATTAAATTTTAGAAATTTTAGTGTCATTGTTGGTAATAAATGTAATCATAAGATAAAATAAGTTCAATCTGAATCTGGATTCTAATTGATACACTGTTTTAATTGCTAAATAAAATATGAAAAGGAAACATAAGATCAAATATGAACATATAAAACTTTGAAATGATATGGAAGAGAGGCGAAAGATACCAAAGGGACATTCAAACCCATAAGTCGAAAACAAACTGACAACACCATGGCCAAAAAAGAAAAAGACCAACAGACAAACAACAGCACACAAAACACAACATAGGAAACTAAAGACTGAGCAACACGAACCCCACCAAAAACTGGGGGTTATCTCATGTGCTCTGGAAGGGTAAGCAGATCAGAAGGGTAAGAATATACGCACTGAATTCATGATTTCATTTAAATAAAAGAGAAGGTTGGTTGCTGTCAACCGATAGTAATAGATAATTGTTTGGTAATTTCAACCGATTATCCAACACTACCGAAAATCATAACAATTAACTGTGTAAACATATGGGCTAACATAATCTCAAAAGCTGATATACCCGAAAATCATGATACATCTCCTTATTTTAAATACTTTTGCCACTTCTTATGGCGGTTAAGTTAAACAAGTCATTTATAAAAGTGGCAAAGTGCATTCATTAGATCTGTGATTTGTGATAAAATTTGTCAGTTAATCATTGAACGTTTGGGGTTCACTTCGTTTCCATCACAAATAAAACTACCTTAGCAGGGTATATTTGTGCAGAAGTAAAATTCTTTGGTTATCTTTACATCTAAATATAGATGAATCACCTTGACATTTGAGACATGACCACAGAAACACAGATTATATATGTGTGTACATTTACAAAACAATTACTTTGTAACTTACCTGCCACCATACATCTGTCAAGTAATCCTTCCTTTTTCTCTGTTACAAATACTAATGTAGTCAGACCTGTAGCCATGAAAAATGTAATGCTGCAATAAATATGTAAAATGTAATTGATATTTTTAAAATATATTGGAATACCATACCACTGTGTGCCTTTTTCTTACTATTATAAAAAAAAGTAAGAATGGAGATTTGTGTTTTTGATTGTTTATGTTCAATTATTTCACAATTTTATAGTCGCAGAACGATTTGAAGCTTGACATTTTTATAAACCCCTGTCAATTGTTTAAGACTGTATGTTGCCCTCCAGCTGTCTTTTGTTTACTTTTGTTGTTGGGTTGCTGTCTCATTGCATTGGTGTATTCCCAACATCTCCTTTTATTCATACATGCAATCAAATTTATTCATTTCACTGCATAACAACAACATATTTTCTAAAACTATTTCTAGTAAACCTTTATCTCATTACCTGAGTATGATTCCAGGAGCCATAAAATTAGTGAAGCTTGGATCATTTGTACCAAACACTGGTTCTGCAAGCTACAAATGAAAAAAAAAATGTATAGCACAATTCCACTTTCAATCAAGATGATTAATTATCATTTTTTACTTCTGAATACATATCAGGCATATTTTTTGCAGCAGTAGCTCCTATCAGTTTCAAAACATAAATCAGGCTGTTGGTTTTCTTGTTTGAATTGTTTTATTTTCTCATTTGAATTGTCTTTCAGTTTGTTATGCCAATACCTTTATATCTTGCTATGCTGAATTGGTTTTTCTCATTGTTGAAGGCCAATTAAATTCAAGGTAACAAGTTGTAGTGTTCAAAACAAACTGAAACTCAATAAAAGATTTAAATAGCAAAGAATAATCAAAGTACTGAAGTACTGAACATCGGATGACCGCAAGTTTTTGTGGATGGTCACAAGCACTTGTCTCAGAAAAAAAAATCACATCTCTATACCTGAAAGTGAGGTTAAGGTACATAGATATATTTTTTTCAGAGACAAGTTAGTGCGTGGATGATGAATAAATGACAGGGAATTCAACCTCACCGTAATAACTATTATATTGTAGTGATTTAAATCAGTATACTCTGGTTTGTTGTTATATATTATATTAATATTTGTGTATAACAGTTACATGTATATATACTTTTCATCCATTTGTATATCATTCTATTCTACTATTTTAATAATAGTGCAGTGCAAGTGCATGGTGGACACTCTTCTGTAATAATTCGATTTTTCTAATAGAGTGGATTTGAGTAGGCATTCATATTTTCCCGCAAAACGTTCTTGAGATATTCTTCCGCATGCGTTAACTCAAATTTTCGGTATTCTTGATTTGTTATTAATTATTCTCACGACAAAACATTTTCATATCATTTATCTATGTTCTTAAAAATTATTTTCATGAATATTTATTGATGAAATTGATATATTATAACAAGTGATAAGGAATGCTATTTTGCGTTCGGTTATCAGTCAAAAACGAAAGTCACGTGGGTAGAAATGTCTGTGGCAACAATACACCGGAAAGCCCTCACAATCACCCGATGTAAAAACCATCATCATTGTTTGGAAGGGTTCCAGCGTGTAAAGCAAGTATAGAAAAACTATTATTTTTGTATATGCTAAATAAAAAATTGTATTAACTAACTCTAAGTTTAACATGTTGTTAAACTTTTGTACTTAAGTCCTAGGCAAGGCTTCCAAAAAGTAAAATCACAAAAATACAGAACTCTGAGGAAAATTCAAAAAGGAAAGTCCCTAATCAAATGGCAAAATCAAAAGCTCAAACATATCAAACGGATGGATAACAACTGTCATATTTCATATTTGCCGGACAAATGTAAATTTATCGGACATTGTCCAACTGGGCCAAGCATGAAACGGACATCCTTCATAGGTTTGCCATTTCAACGTTCATGTGATTCCGAAAAATCAACCATTTTGACTTGACCTTGTGCCTTAAACAGACACACTTTTCCCGTCATTAAAGTGACAGTGCTCTATAAACAAGCCCTACTATAATCCCCTCTCATTACAATCAAGATTAATTAAGTGTCTAACAGCTGAGATTTATCTGTGACCATCTGTGTCAAATAAAGTATTTGTGCGGGACATCAATCGATCTTTTTGTAAGTTATTTTTTTATTTAAATTAAAAACATTTCTGGTCTAAATCTAACAACTTTTTAGCAAAACAGATTGAGACTATCAGAAAAACGTATTTAAAACGATAAGATCATAATTTACACAAAATAGTTTGTACCGGACATTGATTGGTCTATTCATTTAAAAGTTATATTTAAATTTCAGCGCTTTGCATCTAATCAATTTAGTCAAAAAGATCTTGATTATCAGAAATACGTATATGAACATGATATGATGAAAAAATTAAAAAAAGGTAGTAATAGAGGTTGTAAGCGAAAAATCGTCAGAACCACTTTGCTTGAACTAGTACAGGTGTGCGCATGTGCACAGGTGTGAGGTTTAATTATGCATCCAAAATTTTCAAAACTGCTTAAATTATCATTGATACCTTTATCTAATGTTCATTTCGAGTATTTTCCTGAAGAAATAATGTGGAAAGAGCTACTTAAACTCAATTGTGCTTTGTAAAGGTACACTGATTTTACGTTTCCGTCTCTGGTCCATGGTTTACCATTGCCAAGTCAACATCCGGTATTACAATCCTAGAAAAATGTTTTTTTTAAATCGAAAGCGAAGTTTTTGACAGCGTAATTTTCCACAAAAAAAGAGTATAAGGCAGATATTAGTATGCTGATATTGCACACTTCCAATGATGCACTGTCAATTGAACAGTTTACATCAGAACATCGAATTTATATCAAAAGCCAAGTTTAAAATCGTTTTTGTGTCAATCATTGTTTATATGAAGCCCAACTGATTAAAATACTTGTATTTTGTTACTAAGTCTTAAGGGACTGAAATCGGAATAAGACAATAAATGTCCAGCTGGCTCAAATATTTTTGGAAGCCCTGGTCCTAGGCATGACCATCAAGCCCTTTACTTCATATATTTATACTGATCAATAGATTAGAAGCTTACTGTAGTGATTTATCCTTTTGATCATATAAACAATGTGTATGTATCCTGTACTTACAACTACAGGTAACTGTCCAAGTGATGGATTCATATTGAACCTTTTCAGTAATATAGTAGTAAACTTCTCATAGCTTAACATGACTGACTGCTGTATTGTTAATGCTATCTGTTGATCTAAAAAGAAAAACATCTTTTAATTCATAAAACAGAAATATATGACAACATACCCACTTGCACTATCACATTTCTATGTTCAGTGAACCATGAAAATGGGGTCAAAAGCCTACTTAGGCATATATTTTAAAAATATCCAATCATAATGAACATGTACACTAAGTTTCAAGTTAACAGACAGATGGATGGAGAGACCCAGACCAGAAAATGTATTTCTTTCCTATTTAAAATAATTGTGCCTCTGAGGAAGGAAGAAAGAAGTATCTTTGATCATCTCTTTTCAGTTTTCATACATTATGTGTTCTATCTTTAGACATGAAGAGAAAAGAAAATGACACAGACTACTTTTAATCCTGACCAAAGCCAGCTTGAGTTTTAAATACATAATGAATGTCTGTTATTTGTGTGCCAGTTTTGTGAGAGTAAATTTATTATTTCAGATTTTATAAACTTACAACACAAATTCTGAATAAAAAGAGATTTGGGAAATAATGTAAATGAGACAACACAGAAAACCAGAAGACATTACTCACTCGTCATATCTAAATGCAACTTGATTTCACTTCCTTTTATAGTTGCGTTAGATATATTTTTAGTATTTGTAAATCTACAAAGATAAAAAGTCTGGTTTAATTTTGTTTCAGTCCATCTGTTTACAAAAATTTATACATATCAATACATGAATTAAAAGGATAAAAAAGCACCAACAAGACGACAAACCTTCAACACAAAAAAAAACAGAAAAGATATATGCAGAGGTCATTATATGGCTTTCAACAAAAGACAAGTATGTCAAGTAATATAGTGACACCTTATAATAATGTTCTATAACTCTGTTATATAGACACAATGGATAAGCGTTGATTCTTGAAAAAGAAACCATGAGCCCGGAGGGCGAATGGTTTGTTTTTCATGAACCAATGCTTATCCATTGTATCTATAACTTAAACTATTGTGTTAATGTCTTTTCAACATTAAAGTCTTTTCTTAAATAGAAGGTATTGTAAGTGAGTTTAAATAACCATGTTATTGTGTCCAACGATGCATTAATAAATCTAAGATCACAATTAATTGGTTAATAATATACAAATATAACACAACACGTCTGCCTTTAAAGATCTTTATATTATCAGGCATCTGAATATTATCTGTTTTTACAAAATAAGACATATTCTAACTTATTTCTAATAAAATTAAGAATGGAAATGAGGAATGTGTCAAAGAGACAACAACCCGACCAAAGAGCACATATAAAGTATATATACTAAGTATGTTACCGAAATTTCTAGCAAAAAGCCTAATTCTAGGCACATCACGATTTTCTCGCATAGGAATTTGCGTATAAACATTTGTAAAATTATGTAGTAAAACAGAGGAAATCATACTATATTTATAAAACATAAATGGACAAATAGAACGTAATCATTTTCGTTTCAAATATGTGAAATAGCCAATGATAATTTTAAAATAAACGGGAAAACTCGCTATTAATACAAAAATATCCACAATAACATACAAAACAAGAAAGAAAACCAGGAAACTAAAGAATAGGGACAACAAAGAGAATACAGGGATTCGAACCTAAACCGACAAGTCCCTACCTTTAACTCATTGATCTTAACCATGCCTACCTCGCGGCTACCAACTTATACTATACGATTGCCTATTATGTATATATAAAGGTACAAGACCTGTGTGTCCGTTGTACCGATGTATATCATATGTTCATTTATATATATATAATAGACATTTAAATTGTAACCCATTGGTAGCCGAGTGGTTTCGTCGATATGTTGATGTCAGTCACTCATAACAGATTTCAAGGACGGGTTCGATTCCTAGTGAAGGCATATAGAAATTACAAAAATTAAAAGTAAGTTTTTAAATTGATTCAATTAGTGAACAGAAATCAGTAAATTAGCCAATTCAAACTTAATGAAATTAGGCACACAAAGGAAACAATTAAATATAATTTGGTGAGTCCATTTCCGTGACAGATTTGGGAAGCGTTGATTCTAGAAAAAGAATCCACGGTAAATGAATAGGCTGACGTCACGACAATGGTTTAAGAAAAAATATATCATAACTTATTAAATAAAATAGAATGTGGACACCCATACTTTTGTACAGTGTTCTTGATAACTGGCAGTCCTGTGGGTCCTGACCACCAGAAAGTCTACAATTGAGATTGTAGTGGTGGTCTTGATGTCTGACTGAAGTTTGTCATCCTTTTATTCTATTTTAGGCTTTCTGGTATTTATTATAGCTCATAATTGCAATGTATATCAATATTTTATATGGAAATATATAATTGTTGTGCAAATCGGCCTTATCTAATTTAAACCTGTGGAAATAATTGATAGCAAAATATTTTCTGCAAATACAGGACCACTAAATTTTTTTCTTGGACCATTAGATTTGTAGTCCAACAGGATAAAAATAGATTTCAAGATGTCTGTTTGTAATGTAGACAGGAGTAACATCAGTTCTTTTTCTGAAGGAAAGGGATACAACATAAGTTTTCTTCGTTTTGACACAAAAATCAAAAGCTTAGTTTTGGGCAGTTAATGCATCAAATAAACTGTCAGCTACATTGGATAATATTGCAACTTTGTCACCTAAAAACCACCACTTGCTGTATTTTTTTTCACATTTTCAAGGGAGTAAATAAAGAGAAATTTGTCAAACTTTATATCAAGCTGTTTTCAGTGGTCTAACATTTCCAAAATTCAAATAATTTGGTGAAGACTTCTTAGAGTTGTTGTCTATAAACAAAAATATCCGTCATTGTCAACTTATAGATTAAAAAAAAACATAATTTCAAAAGAATATAGCAAACTTGTATGTTAAAAAAGGATTTTTCATAAAATCATGAATATTATCCAGTTTAAGTGGCAAAATTATCAGTATAAATTGCACTCCTAATAACCACAAAAACTTCAAAAACACTAAATAAGAATATCTTTAAATGCATGATTTGTTTATTGCAATGCACTATTTTGTTTTTAGTCTTATTAAGGCATTAATTGACCTTTTCTTCCTTACCCTATATCTCTTATTTCTATATGGCAGTCAAAATCATTATTTACAATTCACCCAATTGTCTGAACTTACAAATTGTTAAGTTAGTTGCTGAATATTAAGCAAGTTTCAATCAATCAATCAATCAGTAATTGTGTTATGAACATACCTTTGAAGTAAGTCCTGTGAGAAATTTTGACCAATACTGATGACTCCCCAACTCTTTCCTTCTCTGACTGACTCTAATGCTGACGGCAGATCTTTATAGGATACCTGCAATTCAATGTTAAGGATTCTCTCTTAGTATCTCTTATGCAGTTATGTATGTACAGGAGAATATTTATTATTTCAGATACGTTAGTAAGTACAAATAAAATTGATATTAAGAGACAACTAATTTTCTTTTTTCTTGTAAAAAAAAAAGGTCAACTCAGATCACTGTTCATTAACCAGTTTCACAATTTTGAAGTTTTCTTTATAGATTCAATGTGACCAATGAAAACATTCTTCATTATTCCATGTCACAGAACAAACAATGAATTAATTCAAAATTCTGCCTTGGCATTACGCAAGTTGGGATTTCATGAGTCATAAATTCTAATTCAACTATCATTAAAACATTATTAATATTAGACATTTAATAATTTATATTTTGAAAAGTTTCTACTAACATTGTGTATTGCTGAAGTATCTAAACAGTCTAAAAACATATTGCTGAACTTGATGACTCCTGTTTCAGCATTGACAACTGACATAGTAAGGTCATATGGCTTTCTTCCAATACATATACAAAACAGAATTATCTGTATTGATGGCAAAATAAACTGGAACAACAGAAATCTGTAATGTAGAAAGTTATAAATGTCCAATAGGTTACTCAAGATTAAGATCTAAAAAAATGACAAGATTCTGGAGTTTTCAAAATATATCATGATGAAACATAAACTAATATACATATCATAATAAATTTTTTGAGAAAAAAAAATACCAGTAAGTGAATGGCATATCTATAACCCCAAGCCATATTGTCACAAAATGTTAAAAAATGCGAACCAACTCATTTTTTCCCCATGTTTAAAAAAATCCATGGTATAGAAATTCAAACTTCTGTGGCCTAGATTTACCAAAAATTCTAAAACTTTTACAATTTTGAAACGCTTGTACTTGACTTCAATTTGAATACTTTAGAAACTGAAGTTATATATTGCCTATGAGTAATTCTTACCCTATATTTCTCTTCATTAATGTAAGATTTTTCACTGTTTGAGCAAATATATTTTTAAATGATGGACAACCACAACGACAATCAAACAGCTGAGTATTAGGAGGCATCATATCATCTGAAACAAAAAGTCATTCTATTTTGAATACGTGTCAAAAAATATGTTCCTTTTCTAATTATGTCCATGTACAGTTACTGATAGTAAGTAATTCTCAATAGTTTCATAATTGTAAATTAATGCTTGCATAAGAATCAATTTATATGGTGTTTTAAATTTCACCTTTTTTTAGTTACCTATGAGGAGCAGTAAGCAGATGATGCCCCCGCTTGCATATCATTTAGTTATAAAGGGACATAATTGAAGAATGGTAAAAGTGACGCTACCCAAATTTGAACTTGATCTGAGTTTTGTGGTAATAAGCCTTGTGTGTAAGATTCATAACATTTGATTGAGGCTAACTTAAGTAGAGAACAGAAACTAAAAATTCAGCAATTTTTTATTTGTAAACACGCATAACTCTAGAACGGTTGGGTATAAGTTTTATAACATTTGGTTGAGACAAACTAAAGTTAGAGAACAGAAACGAAAAATTCAACAATTTTTATGTTTATAAAGGGACATAACTCAAGAATGGTAAAAGTGTCGCCACTAAATTTCGTACTTAATCTGTATTATGTAGTAATAAGCATTGTGTATAAGTTTTATAACATTTGGTTGAAGCAAACTAAAGTTAGAAAACGGAAACAAAAAAATTGTACTTGATCTTAGTTTTGTGGTAATGAATATTGTGTATAGGTTTCATAATGTTTGGTTGGGGCAAACTTAAGTTACAGAATGGGGAACTAAAAATTTTTCAATCTTTCGATTTATAAAGGGGCATAATTCAATAATGGTTAAAGTGACACTACCCAAATTCAACTTGATCTGTGTTTTATCAGTAGAAGTCAAAATTAAACATTGCATTGTATAAAGCATTGATTGTAGTTGATTCAACTATAATCATGGACAAAGGAAGATAACTCCAATTTTAAAAATTACTTGATATTTAAAAGAAACTAAAAATGTGCAATTTTTCCATTTACTGTAAATTCAGAAATTATTGCGTGCATTTATTATTGCGATTCGCCGACCACCGGCAAAAATGCGAGGTTTTATTTTTGCGATTTGCCGACCTCAAAAAATTTTTTTTTAAGCTAAATATTATTGTAAGTCACAGATATTTACATTTTTTATTCGCAAAATGTTTATTTTAATCTATGGATCAAGTTACCTTCCGTATGTTTTCTGTGATTGAATACACAATTCTTATCTGATGTAACTTGTAAAGGGGATCTAGAAACTAAGTTCAATTACTAGTACTGTATTTGTTGTACATGCCTACTTTGGGGATCTAGAAACTTAATCGAACATTGACCATGTGCTGAAGATTAGTGTAGAGCGAGGCCCGGCTTGGGTAATTATAGGATATTTTTAGCTTCAAAGGAAAATAAATTAAAATATTAAAAGTCAATAATCACAATCACCTGGAGTAAATTAGGTTTGGCTTCCGAGTCCTTTTATGCATACAAGCGAAGTTGAGAAAAATAAGATTCATCATAAAGTGTTAGGCTTGTGGCACATTGTTACAAATAAATTTAATTACACATCTAATAAATCAGCGTTGATTAGCAAAGACTCATTTAGACATAAATAGGAATGATTTTTTTTAAACACCATTAAGGTTAAAAAAATGTCCATGTGGAAGTACGTCACAAAGAAACGCTCCCCTGACGACATCGTCTTGAGGTTGCCCGATCCTGATAACGCTATCAACAAAGATGCAGCTGATAAGATAAAAGCCGCTAACACTGAAATTGTCAACTCTCTTGCTACTGATGAGTCAACTACCAGCACAAAACGGGGGGTCAAGAGAAAAGCCAGCAACAACCACTACACACCAGAGACCCGTGCTAAAATAGCAAAATACGCCACTGAACATGGCAATGTTGCCGCTGCCCGCAAATTTAGCAAAGACCTCCAACTTGACATTAAAGAAAGTGCAGTACGAGCCATGAAAAAGAAATATCTTGTAAACTCAAAAGAATCTAAACACCAACCTGTCAATGCGTTGACACCAGAAAAACGTGGTAGGCCACTACTTCTTGGTGATTTAGACAAAGATATGCGATGTAGGAGCCCACATACGCAGCATCAGAGAAGCCGGTGGCATCGTAAACCAAGCTATCGTTATTGCAACAGCCCGTGGACTTGTCAGACACAAAAACCCCACACTACTCAGTGAAGCTGGTGGATCGATACATATCACCAAGACATGGGCCGTATCCTTCCTAAAAAGACTTGGGTACGTCAAGCGAAAAGGTACCAAAGCAGCCAGAAAACTGCCAGATGACTTTGAGCACCAAAAAAGTGAATTTCATCGCATTATCACCGAGACCGTTACCAAGTACAACGTGCCTCCACAACTGATCTTCAACTTTGACCAGACTGGGTTAAAGATCGTCCCTGTATCTAACTGGACATTAGAGATGGAGGGCTCAAAGCAAGTTGACATTATTGGTTTAGAAGATAAACGCGAGATTACAGGTTTACTAGGTAGCACATCAGATGGTTGTCTCTTACCACCTCAGATTTTATACCAAGGTAAAACAGACCAGTGTCACGCAAAATATCCGTTTCCCTCCGACTGGGACGTTTTCCACACAGAGAGCCACTGGAGTAACGAACAGAGTATGGTGCGTTACATTGAGACTGTCCTTGTGCCGTATACCGACAAAGTTAAAAAGGGTATAACTCTAGAACGGTTAAAGTGACGCCACCAAAATTCAAACTTGATCTGTGTTTTTTGGTAATAAGCATTGTGTATAAGTTTCATAACATTTGGTTGAGGCAAACTAAAGTTAGAGAAAGGAAACCAACTTTGGGACGTATGTACGGACGGATGTACGGACGGACATACGTACGTATGTACAGACGGACAAGGGTAAAACTTAATGCCCCCTCCGCTATGGCGGGGGCATAAAAAGTATGGTCAGAAAGTATATTTGACTAGCTTTGAATATGGCTGGATCACTGTATAAGTTTCATAACATTTGGTTGAGGCAAACTCTAGTTAGAGAACGGAAACCAATTTTGGGACGTACGTATGTACAGACGGACAAGGGTAAAACTTAATGCCCCCACCGCTATGGAGGGGGGGGGGGGGGGGGGGATAACCATAAAATTTAGATGCCAAAAATATTAATTCCTTTAAAAGATTTGGTTTAAATTAGCCTAAAATAAAGAGATGTGGTATGATTGCCAATGAGACAACTATCCACCAAAGTTCAAATGAAGTGGATGTAAGCAATTATAGGCAACCATACAGCCTTCAACAATGAAAAAATCCCACACCGTATAGTGGGCTATAAAAGGCCCCGATATGAACATTATGAAACAATTCAATAGAGAAAACAGTTTAATTTATAACAAAACAATTTACGAAAAACAAATATGACAGACATGAACCAACGACAATAAATGAACTACAGGCTCCTGACTTGGGAGAGGCACATAAAGAATGTAGTCGGGTTAAGCATTTTTGTATGTTCTCAACCATCTCCTAACCTGGGACAGTGGTGTTACTACACAACATAAGACTATTTTTTCTTAATATTTCCCAAAGATTCTTTTGAGAGTTAAAATTGTCTGCTAGCAGTGCTATTGGTTGACTGTAACCCCCATATGCGATTAAAAAAACTTACAATCATTTGAATTTCCACTGACACCAATTAATGGAGTTGTCTCATTCACAACAGTACGCTTATCAGCTGATATTCTTTTCTTCTGACTATTCAATATTGCCTGAAATTAAAACAGGTCTTAATACAAAGTCTATTAGTAATTTTTATAGCATTTAATGACAATGTCTAAGTTCCACACATGGGAAACCTCAGAAAAAGTATTAAATCTGTCCAAAATAGGAGGTGCACATCTTCAATCTGTGTGCAATCAATAGTCTAGGTTGGAATAATGTTGTTGGAAAACTGTTGGAGCTATGCTTGATACAATTTATTTACCCCCTTTATGTTTTTAAAGACAAACAGGAGGAATGATGAACAGACGGACAAAAAAAAGAACTTACTAGACCTGATCTCGCCTCTAGGAAGCTAGGCAAAATCCCACATTACAAGTCAGTCAAGATTACTTTAGTAAAATAGTACTCACATTCCTTGAAAAATTACAGTTTAATATCTCTTCATCAGGTTGATCATCATGACACAATTTTAAGAATACAGTCTCTAGACTCTGCAAAATAAAAACAAAATTAAATAAGGAAAAAAGACTTATTGTGCTAGGCATACCACACTTGTAATTCAAAGTCTCTCTAAAAAAAAGAAGTTGCACTGGCAGATCTGAAAAGAACATACATGTTACAACTCATCACTGTTGAGCTACTGAACAATTATGAAGTCATTATATTCAATAGTATTGGAGAAATGTTTGATGAAAAATTGGAAGTTCATTCAAAATATTGAAAAATTCAAGCTGTCAAGTTGTTGACCCAATAGGAAGTCATTGTTTCATAGTTTTGAGAAAAATATAATTAAACACTTGTTGGAAGAATGGAGAGATAAACATAATAAAACACTTGTTGGAAAAATGGAGAGACAAATATAATAAAACACTAGTTGAAAGAATGGACATACAAACAGACAAGGTGATTGCAATAAAGACCCCATTCATAGAGTGAGGGATAATAATAACTTACATAGATAACAACAACTCTCACTGTATAGATACCTCACATACAAATAAACATGTCAAATCTATGCTATCTAACTATAACCATGACAATAACCTTAATATATTAATTTTTGTGAAATCTAATTCTTGCAAAGTAACAAGTGCTTTACTAATACTTGCACAACTAGAACAAAAATAATGCAAATTAAAACTGTTAAAAACATGAGAAAACAAGGACTAAATCAACAAAGTAGAAAATTTTGAAAACTAATTGCATGAAATAGGCTTGAAAGGACAACCTTCTCCCTCCCTCTATAAAAAAATGTACCCAGGAAAATAAGTACATATGGTCAACAGTACCACAGTTTTGTTTACACGACATGTCCCTATTTATCCATTTTCATTTGTAAACTAATTTTTGCTCTTTACATGACAGCAAATAGAAATAAGCTGTTATCACAGAGATATGTCTCGCCTTATTGTAATTTTGATAATGCAAATGTTGAAATTAAAATAGCAATACTTTAACATGTAAGTTATGCAAATATTCAAAGTCGATGAACCATGACTGAAGGTACATGGCTAAACAATCTCCATGGAATGAGATGTGCCAATGCTAAAACAACTGCATACTAAATGCCATTGACTTATTATAAGTCGTTCCCTTTAAACAAACCTAAACACAAACATTAACTTGTAAACTATGTAAAAGTTTCAAAGTCAATGAACCATGATCAGGGCTGGGGCTATATAAACTCCATGGAAACGATCCTTGCAAATGCCAATACATTTGCATACCAAATATCATTGACTTAACATTAGCAGTTCATCTTAAACTTATCTAATCACTAACTAATACATGTAAACTAAGCAAAAGTTTCAAAGTCAATAGATCATGACTGAGGGGGCGGGGCCAAATATTCTCCATGGAAATGAGATGTGCTAATGCTTATACAACTGAACACCAATTAACATTGGCCTACCACTAATGGTTCCCCTTGAACTGACCTAATTACAAACTAATACATGTTAACTTAGCAAAATTTTCAAAGTCTACAGACCATGACTAAGGGGGCGGAGCCAAATAATCTCCATGGAAATGAGATATGCCAATGCTTATACAACTGCATACCAAATATCATTGACCTACCACTAGTGGTTCCCCATAAATTGACCTAATCACAAACTAATACATGTAAACTATGAAAAGTTTCAAAGTCAATAGACCTTGACTGAGGGGGCGGGGCCAAATAATCTCCATGGTAATGAGATGTGCCAATGCTAATACAACTGCATACCAAATATCATTGACCTACCATTAGTGGTTCACCATGAACTAGACCTAATCACAAACTAATACATTGTTGACACCGCTGCTGCCATCGCCTCTGCCATCCCCGCCGGAAACAGCATATCTATGTCTCGCTTTTTGACTCCGTCAAGGCGAGACAAAAATTACTATTTCTATATTACTCTATATGATTCATATCCAACCTGTGTATTTAGATGTTTCCATTTTTATTATTCAAACAAATAATTAATTGAAACTACCTGTTTATTCAACAATTCAGTGAAAATTATACTCAATAACAATCAAACAAAAAATATTGATAAAAATTATTTCATTGTGTAAAAAATTTTGTCTTAGACTAAACATTCAATTTTCTGTGAATTTACACTGAAAATTAATTTATATCACCTTTTGCATGACAATTACAAAAATATGTATAGAAATTATTTCAATGATTTTTCAATATATGTAAAAACATATGTACCAGGATCTTTCAGGTATAGTAACAGGTTAATCTTACATTGATTTTAAATGCATCCACCAGTTTCTGTGGATTGTCCTCAGCCAATAATTTACCATTTCTCATTAAGCCTACCTAGAAATAGAAATAAAACTACAATAGCTGTGCTTGATAATCAGGAATACACAAGGCACATACTATGAAATACACAAATACACAAAACAGGGTAAATACTAATGAAAACACAACACTTTTGTAAAATTAGCAGAAAATGGGTTTTAATGAATTTCACATTTTTCTAGACTCGTAGGCTATCTTATCTTATGTTGCCACGAAAAAAATAGCCTGAATTACATTTATATTTGTGTGTATTGCTAAAATGCAGTGATTTCATTCTAAAACAAAAGAGTTGTGGGTGTGATATAGGTGTATGCAAAATTTATCTAAGGAGTGTTATATCAAACTGAAAATGACCATTATGGAGGAATTAGATTTTAGCAACAGCATTAATATAAACATACCATATTTGCTTGTCGTGCCTCCTCAATGTAATGTGTTGTTATAATTATTGTTGTTTCATGTTCACTGTCTTTGGAAATATTGATTAAATGTTCCCATATTCTAAAACAGAACAGATATTTTGTTATTGTTAATAAGCAATCTTTAATTTCTCTTAATCAATTATGATTGAAAAATGCCCAAATATACTTTGAAAAAACTGCAATTTCTAATTTGTAGTTGTTCTAACTGCATGTAAGTAAACCTTTACACTAAGTTCACATTTATATTATATTTATAGTCACATTCATGGGATTAATAAATATACAAACATCAAACTTAAATCTGGTTTACAAATTCACATTTTCAACAAATGGTCTTAAATAGCTTAGTATAAAGTGCTTTGATTCTGGTTTCACAATATGTAAGTAAACTTAGGTCTTTATGACCTGGTAATTACTATAGATTAACTACCATACTCCCTCAGGTTTTGCTGAAAATAGTTCGACATGGATGTTCCAAAATATAACTTCCTGAACTTTTTGGTCTGGAACATACTTGATGGTTATACTAGAAACATGTGTTATGAGCATTGAGGTCAGTATTATATAGAGATTAATACATGGTCTTTTCCATATCGGCCCGGGTATCATCCCGAGACCCCCATATCAGCCCGAGACGTAGTCGAGGTGCTGATATGGGTTGAGGGATGATACCCGGGCCGATATGGAAAAGGCCATGTATTAATCTCTTTATCATATACTTCCGACAATAGTTTTATGTAAGGCAAATAAACAAATGAAATAACTAAAACAGTCAAAAACTTTTTAAAGAAGTTAAATCATGAATCCAACAAATACACTACAATTGTCCAACAATAGCATCACTACCTCCATATATATTATGGTACCATTTCCTATAGAGGCATTTTGAAACATTAAAAATTTGGAAGCATGGAGGAAGTATTTACAGTTTTATGATCATTATTACTACATGTTGTACTATATGAAATGATTCATAATTGTCAATGGCATTTGTTAGCAAGTACTAATTGTAAACTAGCATCATTTTGAAAATCTATATCATTGAATTTAGCCATGTTAACATCTGTTTTTCAATAACAGCTGGTTCTGTACAAACAGATTTACCACTGGATCCAATAAACCTTATCGCTATTTGTCCGCCATTACTGGACATCACAAAAGTTCCCGTAAAATTTTGACGTCATAATAGAAAATATCTGACGCCACAATGTAAAAGTAAACATACGATACCGGAAATACCGGAAGTAACTTGCATGAGAGCCACTGTTATGGGTTTTTTGCACGAGACGCCTCTGATATGGGTTATCAGCCCGGGTGGGAAATTATGGCTTGTGTACTTCCGTTCATTACACATATGCAAAAGCTATCATATTAATGCTAAGTATATGATAAATATTTATATTTTTATCTGAAGTTTTACTTATTTCAAACAGGCTACCATATTACACACCTAATCATGCAGAATCTCCTAGAAAGCCAACTTTCAAACTAAGCATGAATTTTGTTTCTATTTCATGGAAAAGAAAGAATTCAACACTTTGTATCTTTTTGGATTGATGCTAATGACATCATTTGTGCCTTTTATACATCGAGAAAATTATTCATGTAAATACAATTTCCTATCCAATGTATCTCAAAAGGACGTTTTATTAATTAGATTTTATAAACAATCAAAATAATACTCACGCATGCATGTCAAATAAAATGCTTCGCTGGGGCGCAGCTTGATACGACCACAGAGGTCGAACCCTGACCAGTTGGGGCAAGTATGGACACAACATTCAAGCTTGATACAGCTCTGAATTTGGATTGTTATTAAATATTTGACACAGCATAGGTTTCTGACACAGAAAGAATGTGGTCTAAGAACTTGAATTTTTTTAATTTACCTATTATGGTCCAATGTCCAAAATCAAAATACATGGTTAGATTCAGCATATCAAAGAACACCATATATTCAATTTTTGTTAAAATCAAACAAAGTTTAATTTTGGACCCCAACTTGGACAAACTTGAAAACTGGGCCCATAATCAAAAATCTAAACACATGTTTAGATTCAGCATATCAAAGAACCCCAAGAATTCAATTTTTGCTAAAATCAAACTAAGTTTAATTTTGGACCCTTTGGACCTTAATGTAGACCAATTTAAAAAACGGGACTTAAAATTAAAAATCTAAATACACGGTTAGATTTGGAATATCAAAGAACCCCAATAATTCAATTTTTGATGAAATCAAACAAAGTTTAATTTTGGACCCTTTTGACCTCAATATGAACCAATTTGATAGCGGGGCCCACAAATAAAAATTCTAAATTCATGGTTAGATTCAGCATATCAAAGAACCCCATATATTCAATTTTTGTTGAAATCAAAAAAAGTTTAATTTTGGACCCCAACTTGGACCAACTTGAAAACTGGGCCCATAATCAAAAATCTAAATACATGTTTAGATTCAGCATATCAAAGAACCCCAAGAATTCAATTTTTGTTAAAATCAAACTAAGTTTAATTTTGGACCCTTTGGACCTCAATGAAGACCAATTTAAAAAACGGGACCCAAATTAAAAATCTAAAAACACGGTTAGATTTGGCATATCAAAGAACCCCAATAATTCAATTTTCGATGAAATCAAACAAAGTTTAATTTTGGACCCTTTTGACCTCAATATGAACCAATTTGATAGCGGGGCCTACAAATAAAAAATCTAAATACATGGTTAGATTCAGCATATCAAAGAACATCATATATTCAATTTTTGTTGAAATCATACAAAGTTTAATTTTGGACCCCAATTTGGACCAACTTGAAAACTGGGCCCATAATCAAAAATCTAAATACATGTTTAGATTCAGCATATCAAAGAACCCCATATATTCAATTTTTGTTGAAATCAAACAAAGTTTAAATACTGGCCCCTATCTTGGACCAACTTGAAAACTGGGCCCATAATCAAAAATCTAAACACATGTTTAGATTCAGCAAATCAAAGAACCCCAAGAATTCAATTTTTGTTAAAATCAAACTAAGTTTAATTTTGGACCCTTTGGACCTCAATGTAGACCAATTTAAAAAACAGGACCCAAAATTAAGAACCTAAATACACGGTTAGATTTGGAATATCAAAGAACCCCAATAATTCAATTTTTGATGAAATCAAACAAAGTTTAATTTTGGACCCTTTTGACCTCAATATGAACCAATTAGATAACGGGGTCCACAAATAAAAAATCTAAATACATGGTTAGATTCAGCATATCAAAGAACCCCATATATTCAATTTTTGTTGAAATCAAACAAAGTTTAATTTTGGACCCCAATTTGGACCAACTTGAAAACTGGGCCAAAAATCAAAAATCTAAATACATGTTTAGATTCAGCATATCAAAGAACCTCATATATTCAATTTTTGCTAAAATCAAACAAAGTTTAATTTTGGACCCTTTGGACATTAATGTAGACCAATTTGAAAACTGGACCCAAAATTAAAAATCTAAATACACTGTTAGATTCGGCATAACAAATAAATAAATGTGATCAAAGATTTTACAAATCTAATGCGCCATACTGTGCAATTAAAGATTACTTCTTGAAATTTTTCAATATTTGAAATTTGAACAAAAAATAATATTTGAAGAATAATTCTTTTAAATTTCTGAAATCTGAAATGAGAAAAAATTGGCCCCCCACAATTTCTTTTTATCCCCCCCCCCCCCCTTTTTCCCCCAAAAAAATTCTTTCCCTCAAGATATGGTCATAATCTCAATTCAAATTTCCAATGGAGTTGGCAACCATAATTACCCATTTAAATTTACCATAGTGCTAACTTAATCTATTTTATAATAGAATTAATAAAAATATAGTGTCAAATCTTTCATATGGATTTTTTTGTAAAAAAAAAAGATGAAAACATTTGCAGATATTTTTACTGGTCTTCCTTTATAAATATGCATTTCTTTAAACATAATTTAAAAGCAGACTAAGGGAAGTAACCAAAACGTTGTATTTGGATTACCTCCCTTACACTGTTTTAGATAATCTTTATTGTTCATTAACCATTACTTTATACATAATTTAAAAGCAGTGTAAGGGAGATAATTTCAATGATGTATTTGATTTATCTCCCTTACACTGCTTTAAATTATGTTTTGTACTAAAGTATTTGTCCATTAACCAGGACAACCTTGTTTTTCCCCCTTTTTTGCCCCTAATTCCTAAACGGTTTGAGCCATAACCCCCCAAAGCAAATCCTAACCATCCCTTTGTGGTATGGAAACTTGTAGTATAATTTCAGAGAGATCCATACACCGTTCCACAGTTATTGTCTGGAAACTAGAAAATGCTCACTTTTGGCCCCTTTTTGGCCCCTAATTCCTTAACTGTTGGTACCATAACCCCCAAAATCAATCCCAACCTTCCTTTTGTGGTATTTAACCTTATGGTCAAATTTCAAAAAGATCCATTCACTTAAACTAAAGTTAGAGTGCGAAAACCAATATGTATTCGGACGACGACGCCGGACGACGACGACGACGACGCCAACGTCATACCAATATACGACCACAAAATTTTTTTGCGGTCGTATAAAAACCATTGCAAATGACGCATGAACTTAAAAAAAAAGCAATGATATATAAAGTTTTAGAGGTCAACATATGGTTTTAAAAGTATATATATAAAACAATTCAAACCTTTCTCTAAGAAGTGGGTCAACACCCACAGTGGGTTCATCTAAAATCAGGAGTTCTGGTTCTTGTAATAAAGCAACTGCAAATGATACTCTTCTCATCTGGCCACCACTGTAAATAACAAAGCATTTATACTGTAAACTCAGAAATTATTGCAAGCTTTTTAATACTATTGCAAAGATTGGGATCAGACAGGCTTTGCAAAAATAAAAACTCACACTTTAAATGTTGATAACATTATTTGTATGTAATATTTCCTGAAATCACAATAACAAACTTGCTATTTTGTTCATTGTTCAACAATTGTTATAATAAATCTACACACAAATTTCTGAATTAACAGTACAGGATTATGATGTTGTATACTGATTCCAAGTATTTAACCCTGTCAAATACTTTAAGATTTGATGTACTACTTTAGAAAAAAGCCCATGCCCCCTCCAAAGGGAGTAAAAAGAAACCATACACATTTACAAAAGGGCTGCACAACCTATACAACAATACATTGAAATAATCTTCGGGATTCTGTGAGAAGCATGATTTTTAATATAAAATATCACAAAATAGCACAAAGTGGAAAAATGTAGTTGATAATTTGGAACTTAGGAGGAAGAATACAGACTACAATACATTATTCATACCTGAGAGTATTGATTAGTCTGTTCTGTTTTGGCAGTGATAAAAAATTCAGTAGAAATTCTGTTCTTTTCTGTATATGTACTTTACACATACCATGGATATACCCAAAGTACTTCAACGTTTCACCGATAGTCAAGTCATTAAACAGTGCTGTCTCCTGAAATATGATAAAAAAATGATTGATGAATCAATGAGAACTGACATCAGTCTCTTATATTTTTCCTACACATGTATATGTTATCATGCTCTAAATACACAATTCTATTAATAGAACTCAGTTTTTGATTCATAAAAATCTAGAGGTTCTAATAAGCCTGTATTGTTCCAATTGGCAAAAATTAAGCCTCTATATCAAAACTTTTAAATAAAAAGAAAACTGATTGTTTATAAACAGATTTACCTGTGGCATATAGCCAACAAGACTTCCTGGAACTCCATGTCCTGGTGCACCAGGTCTGTTGCCGAGGACAACCATATGACCTCCATCCAAATGCAATTTACCTAGAATGCATCGAAGCAATGTAGTTTTACCACAACCACTTGGACCTAGCAAGCCATATCTAAAAAGAAGATGCATTTTACATTTCAAAAGTTTTAAAACTTGAAAAAAGTATTCATTTATGAATCATTATCTATTTATTTACCATAAAACTATGATTTTTTATCAATTTACTTTACAAATGTTATTACTGATGGAAATATGACTTTTACAGAGCTAGATACACTTAAACCTTTGTACACTGACTGAATGTAGGATTAGAAAAGCCAAATCAGAATTACTAATTGTTTCCCCTTTAAAGATGTTCCTCCAACTACTAGCTCTTATATACAAAAACTGCAATTGTTTTTTTTTCTTTCAAATATCATAAGTCGAAGAGAAACTGACAACATCATGGCATAAAACAATAAAATGCTTCCCTGAGTGTAGCCTGATACGACCGCAGAGGTCAAACCCTGAACAGTTGGGGCAAATTTGAATATAATATTCAAGCTTGATATTGTCTGAATTTTGATTGTGATCAAATTTTTCACATAATATAGGTTTCTGACACAAAATAAATGTGGTAAAAGATCTATTGCGCAATACTGTGCAATTGAAGATTACTTTTTGAAACTTTTACAAAATTTGAAATTTGAAAATTTTTGAAAAAAATATGAATTCCTTAAAAAAATTGGAAACCCCCTCCTCCCCCTCGACTTTTGGAATCCCCCCTTGGAGCATTACCCCAAGACTCGATTCCAATTCTTTCCTTTGTAGTATGGATCCCCCCTTGGAGCATTACCCCAAGACTCGATCCAATTCTTTCCTTTGTAGTATGGAATGGAACCTTGTAGTACAATTTCAGAGAGATCCATACACATCTAACACAAGTTATTGTTTTGAAACTAGAATAATGCATGTTTTTGGCCCCTTATTCCTACATGTTTGAGGCAATTACCCCCAAACTCAATCCCAGCCTTCCCTTTGTGATATTATAAGTTATCTACGTTCATATCCGTAGATATGGATATTTTAACACCCTGATTATCCCAGTACACCCTGAGGCGAAGCCGAAGGGTGTACAGGGTACTGAAGGGTGTTAAAATATCCATATCTACGGATATGAACGTAGATAACGAATTTATCCCCCGTTCTTAGTCCAAATCTGTCGATTTTTAGAGAAATTCGACCATAAAGTGTAACGTGAAAGCAACGTTTTTTTCATTTTCTAAAAATCTTTTATTGAAATTTTGGAATTTGACATATCTTTTACGGGGTGTAGGGTACTACCTTTGGTAGAAAGGTAGTACAGAGAAACTGGAGTGGGTCGAATTTGGCGCTCAATGTTGTGAGAGTTACATCAAAGACGGTGTGACGCCAACGTGGGACATTTGCATAGCTAGGTCAGTAGTCCCATTCATAGACAATGTGGCAGCCAAGTGATGCATTTACTAAAATGGGTGCAAATGATCAACAAAATAAGACAACATCGTTAGTTACAGACATCATGAATAATCTACAGAATTCTATATTTCACAAAGAACAACCATGGAACTAAGGAAAAAGTGCGTGACGTCCCCCGGGGTAATGGATAGCAACGTCCGGGTATATGGGTTAGCAACACCCAGCGGCTATGGGTTTTGTAACAACGTGCGTTATCCAATCAAAATCCTAGAAATATACTTAGACGGTGATAAGGAACCTTATGGTACAATATCAGAGAGATCCATAAACTTACACACAAGTTATTGTCAGGAAACTACAAAAATTGTTGTTTTTGGCCCCTTTTAGGCCCTTATTTCCTAAACTGTTTGCCCCATAACCCCTAATATGAATCCCAACCTTCTACTTGTGGTATTAAACATTGTTGTACAATTTCAGAGCAATAGAAATACTTATTCACAAGTTATTATCCTGTAACTAGAAAAATGTTTGTTTTGGGCCCCTTTTGGGCCCCTAATTCCTAAACGGTTGGAACCATCATCCCCAAAATCAATCCCAACTTTTCTTTTCTGGTATTGAACCTTCTTAAAAAATTTCATAGAGATCCATTCACTTAAACTAAAGTTATTGTCCGGAAACCAATGTGTCTTTGGACGACGTAGACGACGCAGATGGGGCAATATGCACAATTGTTTCTCTATAGGCGGTAATGGTAACGTTTTCTTCTGTAGCTCAGTCCATATCGTAAACTTGGATATGTGTGATGGCTCGTTTCGAAGCTGAGACATTTTCACATATGTGGTTAAATTTTCGGGGTACGAAGTGTGATTCATTTTTCCGTAAATTAGCATACCCCGAAAATCTTTTCGCGATGTGGCTCTTCATGGTAAAAAGTCCCTTTTTTCACACAATAATTTCTTTGAAAATTTAAAACTTTGAATACATATAATAACTCCATAGTTTTTACACATTTATTCTATGGTCCTATACTTTCCAGATCAACACAAATGGTTAAGCTCAGTCACTTGTTAAAAATAGAAACATGTCCAATATCACTACACAGAGATTTTTTGTTAACACACAACTTTTGTGTTCCTCAATTGGAGGCGCATTAGGGATATTGACCCATCTGCATTTATACACTTCAAGAAAGCAAAGTTCTAATTAAATTGGTTATGATTTAATTTCATAATTTTAACAACAATCCTGTCCTCTTATGTGATATTTATTACCAAATTTGTTTCTAACATGAGCAACAGGACAAATGCCACAAGTGAAGCATAATCTACTTACCCTTTGGGAGCACCTGGGATCACCCCTGTTTTTTGGCTGGATTTCTGTTGCTCATTCTCTAATTTTTGTCTCGTCTTGACGGAGTCAAAAAGCGAGACATAGGTATGCTGTTTCTGGCGCAGGCATCAACAATGTATTAGTTTGTGATTAAGTCTAGTTTATGGTGAACCACAAGTGGTAGGTAAATGATATTTGATATGCAGTTGTATTAGCATTGGCATATCTCATTTCCATGGAGATTATTTTTGCTCCGCTCCCTTAGTCATGGTCTATTGACTTTGAAAATTTTGCTTAGTTTACATGTATTAGTTTGTGATTAGGTCAGTTCAAGGGGAACCATTAGTGGTAGGCCAATGTTAATTGGTATTCAGTTGTTTAAGCATTAGCACATCTCATTTCCATGGAGAATATTTGTCCCCCTCCTCAGTCATGGTCTATTGACTTTGAAACTTTTGCTTAGTTTACATGTATTAGATTGTGATTAGATAAGTTTAAGATGAACAGCTTATGTTAAGTAAATGATAATTGGTATGCAAATTTATTGGCATTTGCAAGTATCGTTTCCATGGAGATTATATAGCCCCACCCCCTCATCATGGTTCATTGACTTTGAAACTTTTACATAGTTTACAAATTAATGTTTGTGTTGAGGTTTGTTAAAAGGGAACGACTTATAATAAGTCAATGGTATTTGGTATGCAGTTGTATTAACATTGGCACATCTCATTTCCATGGAGATTGTTTAGCCATTATACCTTCAGTCATGGTTCATCGACTTTGAATATTTGCATAACCATGTTAAAGTATTGCTATTTTAATTTCAACATTTGCATTATGAAAATTACAAAAAGGCGAGACATATCACTGTGATAACAGTTTATTAATATTTTGCCTAACTTTTTGTCTTTTAATAGTTTTTATAATACCGCAAAAAAAAATTTGGATCGTATAATGGTATGATGTCTTTGTCATCTGGGTCAATATCCCTTATGTGCCTCCAATTGAGGAACACAAAAGTTGTGTGTAAACAAAAAATCTCTGTGTAGTGATATTGGACATGTTTCTATTTTTAACAAGTGACTGAGCTTAACCATTTGTGTTGATCTGGAAAGTATAGGACCATAGAATAAATGTGTAAAAACTATGGAGTTATTATATGTATTCAAAGTATTAAATTTTCAAAGAAATTATTGTGTGAAAAAAGGGACTTTTTACCATGAAGAACCGCATCACGAAAAGATTTTCGGGGTATGCTAATTTACGGAAAAATGAATCACACTTCGTACCCCGAAAATTTAACCACATATGTGAAAATGTCTCAGCTTCGAAACCAACCATCATACATATCCAAGTTTACGATATGGACTGAGCTACAGAAGAAAACGTTACCATTACCGCATATGGAGAAACAATTGCACATAATGCCCCAAGATAATGAGAAAAGGATCATATCTTGAATCAGGCAACTATATTTCTCACAAAGCTTGAAGATAGCTTTATCTTTATAATTCAAATTCTAAATACATATTTCAGATATGCAAAAAGGGAATAGTATAAAACAACTTCATGATATATTATCATGTACTTCTGTGCAACAGTATTCTTTTGTGTTTCTATTTCTATAACATGATTTAAACAGGTAATTCACAAAGTTTACTTTGTTACATTTCAAAATGTTCTGATCAAAACAACGAAGGCAATGATAAAAGAGTGATGACTTTTTCTCATTGTTGAAGGCCGTATGGTTGCCTAATATTGCTTACATCCACTTCATTTAAACTTTAATGGATAGTTGTCTCATTGGTAATCATACCACATCTCCTTATTTTTATATTCACAAACCCACATAATTTCATTAAGATAATGAATGACCTCACTTCACTACAACTGACCTCCCTACCCTACGATGAGATGACCTCCCTCCACCATTGTACACTTCAATGGTACTGAGGACTCTCTTAATTATCCCTAATATTTCGCACAGGAAGCTGAGGAATACTGGATCTTAAATAAAATATTAATAGTCATACATGCATCCACGCTGAACTGTTATATCTAAGTTCTGGAGGACTTGAAATTTTTTCTTTCCACTTCCATAATTCTTTACAATCGATCTCCCCCACACAGCATACTCTTGTCTGGCATGAGGTTCCGTTGGCATTCTACAGTAGAGAAAAAACACCATTTTATCTCATATTTATATATGTGTAAAATCATGAATACTCTACTTTAACCAGTCATTATAATACAAGAGCGCACACGCTGAAATGTCTCGCCTTCTTTACTAACCATTGATTTTATGTTGATAGTCCTAAATATAAAGCTTTACTACAAGTAACACATAAACTTAACATGATCCAAGAAAATGAGGACATGGTCAGATAAACCAAACAAGAAATACATGTACACCTTACAATCATTCAATAAACCAAACATAGTTGACCTATTGCTTATAGTTTCCAAGAAACAGTCTTAACCAAGAAAACTTAACATTGACCAATGAACCATGAAAATGAGGTCAAGGTCAGATGAACCTTGCCAGACAGACATGTACACCTTACAATCAATTTATGCATTAAATATAGTTGACCTATTGCTTATAGTATCAAAGAAACAAACTTAACCATGAAAACTTAACATTGACCAATGAACCATGAAAATGAGGTCAAGGTCAATTCATACTTGCCAGACAGACATATACACCTTCCATACAACAAATATAGTTGATCTATTGCTTATAGTTGAAGAAAAACAGACCAAACACAAAAACTTAACACTGAGAAATGAATCGTGAAAATGAGGTCAAGGTCAAATAAAACCTACGAGACTGACATGTACATCATAAAATATTTCCATACACCAAATATAGTTGACCTATTGCATATAGTATTAGAAAAAAAGACCAAAACTCAAAAACTTAACTTTGACCACTGAACCATGAAAATGAGGTCAAGATCAGATGACACCTACCAGTTGGACATGTACACCTTACAATCATTCCATATACCAAATATAGTAGACCTACTGCTTATAGTATCTGATATATGGACTTGACCACGAAAACTTAACCTTGTTCACCAATCCATGAAATGAGGTCGAGGTCAAATGAAAATTGTCTGACGGGCATGAGGGCCTTGCAAGGTACGCACATACTAAATATAGTTATCCTATTACTCATAATAAGAAAGAAATTAACATTACAAAAAAAGTTGACTTTTTTTCAAGTAGTCACTGAACCATGAAAATGAGGTCAAGGACAATGGACATATGACAGACGGAAACTTCGTAACATAAGGCATCTATATACAAAGTATGAAGCATCCAGGTCATCTAGCTTCTAAAATATAAAGCTTTTAAGAAGTAAACTAACGCCGCCGCCGTAGCCGTAGCCGGATCACTATCCCTATGTCGAGCTAGGCTCGACAATAAACTAAATAAAGTATTATTATTTTTTTCCCATATTCATTTTACTATTATATGTACTCCAGAACACCAGAAAATAGTAAAAATCAAGAAAGAGGTTAATCAATAGGTTTTATTATTCTTGTTAAATGTCTTGCCATTCAATTAAATTGTTACATGCCTACTATGCGGTATGTGTTTCGCTCTATGTTGAAGGCCATACAGTGACCTATAGTTGCCTACCTTCTACTTCATTTGGTCTCTGGTGGATATTTGTCTCATCAGAAATCACACCACATCTTCTTATTTCTATATGTATAACTTTTCATTATTAAAGTCCTTATCCAATAACTTAAAAAAGTGACAATTTTTATTAAAAAAAAATCCTTTCTGCTTGCATTTGATCATTTTGTTAAAATTTGAAAACACTGAAAAGGAATTTGAGTTATTGCACAATGCATGGCTGAATGAATAGACTTTTTACAATTAAACTCTTATTGCTCTACAAAAACACATCAGAAAATCATAAAAAAAAAACCTTTAAGAGGGTCACTGTCAAATTTCATGTCATTAATAGAAACCTTTCTGGAGTTACAATTAAAGGTATCATACAACTCATGAAAATTGCCCCAAGCTTACATGTAGATTCACAATTAAAATTTATAGTATCGAAACAATAACTCAGAAAGTCAAAATTGAAGGAAGTTTTTTTTCATCTTTATCTTGTGCTAAAAGTTCAAGAAAGTTTCAGATAAAAACAATATCATTTTTATAATTTAAGAATGAAATAACAGAGATGTAAACAGTTTTTTTTTCTGTCAGACATTGGGGCCTACAGGGTAGCAAGTTTTGTCAGACCCATCAAATTTTTGCCAGACCTACATTTTTTTTATATCAGCTTTTTATACAGTAAGAGAACAGAGATAGGATGTATTTACAGTGAAAGCTGCTTTAGTGGATTATTTTTAGAAAATATCTAAAATTCAATTGAGTTCTTTTATTTAATAATAACTACAATATATTTAAATTTTTTTTATTGTGTACCACTGAACATCAGGCTAGGGCCATTCTCCATTTTTTTGACAGTGCTCTAAGATTTTTAATTGATTACAACTTTCTCAGGAAAGTGAGGACTGAAAAGTCAATTCAGTTTTAAATTTCCCTCTTTAAAGTTCCCAGTTACAACTCTCATCACAGGGATGAATGTACTTACAAAAATCAATCAGATTGATATAAGCTGTGTGCAGCTTGTTTCCAGATCTTACTTTTTGTTATCCTTGTATATTTTGATATATTTGTAAATTGCATGATTAAATATGTTTAAACTTCAAAAAGCAACATTTGAAAATTTAATAATTTTTTTACCATTATGTTGACAGCAAACATACTAACTTTAATTAAGAAATTTTCAACAAGGCAAATTTCAATTCCCCACTAATAGGTTAGCACCAAAAATGCTAAATCTTACTAAAATCCTAGAGAACTGCCTGCCGGTCATTAGGTCGTGCACAAAAGCCCAATTTGCCGGACCTGCTCAATTTCTGCCCCCCTCGGGCCGACAGGTCCGACAATTAGTTGCATCTCTGAAATAAATGTGGATAGTGTCCACATGTGGACACAGATGATGCCCCCGCTTGCATATCATATAGTTATAAAGGGACATAACTGAAGAACGGTAAAAGTGACGCTCCCCAAATTTGAACTTGATCTGAGTTTTGTGGTAATAAGCATTGTGTGTAAGTCTCATAACATTTGGTTGAGGCTAACTTAAGTAGAGAACAGAAACTAAAAATTCAGCAATTTTTCTATTTGTAAACACGCATAACTCTAGAACGGTTGTGTATAAGTTTTATAACATTTGGTTGAGACAAACTAAAGTTAGAGAACGGAAACGAAAAATTCAGCAATTTTTATGTTTATAAAGGGACATAACTCAAGAATGGTAAAAGTGTCGCCACCAAATATCGTACTTAATCTGTATTATGTAGTAATAAGCATTGTGTATAAGTTTCATAACATTTAGTTGAGGCAAACTAACATGACTAAAGTTAGAAAACGGAAACAAAAAATGTGTACTTGATCTTAGTTTTGTGGTAATGAATATTGTGTATAGGTTTCATAATGTTTTGGTTACAGAATGGAAACTAAAATTTTTTCAATCTTTCGATTTATAAAGGGGCATAACTCAATAATGGTTAAAGTGACACTACCCAAATTCAACTTGATCTGTATTTTATCAGTGGAAGTCAAAATTGAACATTGCATTGTATAAAGCATTGATTGAAGTTGATTCAACTATAATCATGGACAAAGGAAGATAACTCCAATTTTAAAAATTATTTGATATTTAGAAGAAAATAAAAATTTTGCAATTTTTCCATTTATAAAGGGGCATAACTCTAGAACGGTTTAAGTGACGCCACCAAAATTCAAACTAGGTCTGTGTTTTGTGGTAATAAGCATTATGTATAAGTTTCATAACATTTGAATGAGGCAAACTTAAGTTAGAGAACAGAAACTAAACATTTTGCAATTTTTCCATTTATAAAGGGCATAACTCTAGAACGATTAAAGTGACGCCACCAAAATTCAAACTTGATCTTTGTTTTGTGGTAATAAGCATTGTGTATAAGTTTCATAACATTTGGTTGAGGCAACTTAAGTAAGAGAACGGAAACTAAGAATTTTGCAATTTTTCTATTTATAAAGGGGCATAACTCTAGAATGGTTAAAGTGACGACACCAAAATTCAAACTTGATCTGTGTTTTGTGGTAATAAGCATTGTGTATAAGTTTCATAACATTTGGTTGAGGCAAACTCAAGTTAGAGAACGGAAACCAATTTTGGGACATACATACGTACGTACAGACGGACAAGGGTAAAACTTAATGCCCCCACCGCTACAGCGGGGGCATAAAAATAGCAATTCAGTCAATATTTAAAATCCAAAAGTTTACAAGCACATGTTATTTCCCATAGGGTTAAAAAGATCTTTGAGGCATCAATTACACCATGTAGTCATACAATCAGCTTGAAATAGCCATTATTTGTATAATATCTCAAAATAGTTTTGGTCTTGTAATGTTAAAGAGAAAAAAATTGGAAAATTGAACAAAATTTTGTCCATTGAATATTGTGGAAGATAATGATAAATTTTAACAAGGGATCCTACATACATCATTTCTGCCAAGTTTTTTTTAGAGGAGAAAAGAGGAGTTGACAAAAATGTGAAACTGTAACATGTAATGGATGACAAACAGCAAATCACAGTTAAGGGAAAATTCAATACATGTAGCGATACCTATAGCTAGCACAGACAGTTGCACTTTGGGTCAGGTGAGAATAAAATACAAATATTCACTTACATTTTATACTTATACTGGTTTCAAGTTAAATTCTCTGGACTACCTATGTCTGCTCATTTATCAACTGCAGTTCCTGGAAATCAAAGAAAACAAAAAGCTAAAAATATATTATTATATATAACTAAGAAAAAACAAGACTTTTGAATTAAACCCCATTAAAATTGCTAAAGAAATAAGCAATTTATACAAAGTATTGGTTTAGCCCCTTTTAACTAAACCAATAGGATCATAACCCCTAAAATCAATCCCAGACTTTATTTTATGGTATAACACCTTGTGGCACAATAAGATAGCAATAAATAGACTTATACTCAAGTTATTATCCACAAATCAGAAAATCCTAGTTTTTTGGCCCCTTTTAGTCCCTTATTATTGAACGGTTTGGACCATGACCCCTAAAATCA